TCTACTATAAAAATTAAGCTATAAAAATTTGGAGATAAAGTTACACACTGTAAAAAAACGTGTATGTTTTTACATTATTTTAACTCATCCAAATAAGTTGAACAATTTCTTTTAAGTTATATGAAATTCAACTTTTTTTTTTTTTTTTTTAATTCAACGTTTAATGTAATTTAATTTGAAACGACTTGTACAACCTTAAAAATGTAAAGCAGCAACTGACCTTTTTAATTTTTTTCCAGTGTAGAAAATGTACGAGTTTTAGAGATAGAGATATTAAGTTCTCCAAAAAAAAAAAACTTTCTTTGGTCAGTTTTCCATGTGTTTTTTTCTGCAATAATGAATTGTAATGTCACTTTAAGATAAGTATTTAACATGATCAGTTCAACTGCTCCCATGATAAACTGTGATAAACAATGAAGCCACCAAGTCAAATATAACACAAGAGTGAAAGTGGCATGACTTTCTCTGCAGAACCTGTACCAGAGCAGGTTTCTGGGCCTGGCAGCCATGGCCTCTCCGTCTCGCCGGCGGTGTAAGAGCGAGACACACTTCAGCTCGGCTCGATCCACCAGCGACACGGACCTGGTGTCCTTACAGAGCCGCTCCACCCTGAGCGCCAGCACCTCGCTCTACTGCATCGGACAATCAGACCAGCTCGTCATCTGCTGGGACGTCAGAGAGGAGGTGGACGCCGGCGACTGGATCGGCATGTACCTCATCGGTGATCCACATACATATATACTCTCTACCTGTCAAAAGTTTGGAATAATTCAATTTCAAATGTTTTTGAAAGAAGTCTCTTGTAACTCACCAAGACTGCATTTATTTGATCTAAAAAATACAGTAAAATTGTGAAATATTATTACAATTTAAAACAGCTGTTTTCTATGTGAATATCTGTTAAACTGTAATGTATTTCTGTGATGCGCAGCTGTATTTTCAGCATCATTACTCCAGTCTTCAGTGTCACATGATCTTCAGAAATCAGTATAATATGCTGATTTGCTGCTCAACAAACATTTCTGATTATTATCAATGTTGAAAACAGTCGTGCTGCACAATATTTTGGTGAAAACCATCATACATTGCAAAAGATTGGGGTTAAGTAAGATTAAAAATAATAATAATAAAAACTAAATTAACACTTTTATTCAGAAGAGTTGCATTAAATTGATCAAACGTGACATTCATAATGTTACAGCAGATTTCTATTTCAAATAAATGCTTTGAACTTTCTATTCATCAAAGAACCCATTATTAATAATTAAGCGCCAATAATACTTTAAATTAAATTGAGCAGCAAATCAGAATCAGCTATATTTGCATTTTAAAATATATTAATACAGAAAACAGTTATTTTAAATTGTAATAATATTTCACATTATTAGTTGTATATATATTTAATATTATTTTATTATATTATTATTAATATTAATATTATTATTTTTTTATTACACTTCTTTTTTCAATAGAACACATTAATATGCAAATTAGATTGAATGTGATAGAATGGGAAAACCCATTTATGGGTATAAAATAGTATATCTAATCATTCTGTAATATATTTTATAATATAACTGGGAGTATCTTTATGCAAAGTTTTGTTCAAACAAATAGCCTGGAACCTAAAAAATTATAGTGTCTTTTCATTTTCTTAATAAATGAGTCCTGATGCCCTCTACAGAGGACGTAAAATATCTTATTAAAATAAATCCCATTTGTTTCTCATGCCCTTAGCAATGTAATGACTTAAAATAGTTTTATTCCAAGCGTAGCATGTTATTTGACCTTGAAATGGAGGCAGAACAAGAGAAAACAACCTTCTGCTGTTATTTCTCTTTCTTTCACAGACGAGGTTCTGTCAGAAAACTTTCTGGACTATAAGAGTCGTGGCGTGAGCGGCTCCCACAAAGGCCAGATCGTGTGGAGAATCGATGCCAGCTTGTACTTCATGGAGGGTCAGTATCCTCTTCCTGACTCGTTGTCTCTTTCTTCCATTAATGCACTTTTACAAAGTCGCCTCAGGGTTTGGATTTTGCTTATTTCTCCGCGTATCGCTGATGTTGCCAAAAAGGCAATCGACAGTCCACTTTCACAACCGCCACAGATGCAGTCTTCATCGTCTTCAGGATAGAAACCGTTTCAGATGTCACTGTATTTCTGTAGCCGGCTTATTTTCTGATTCCTGTGAAGTTCCTGTGTGAGGATATATTTCTCAGCGTCTGCACATTTTCAAGACTGTCTTCGTCTTTGATCAGGCAATCTTCCACCTCGACTCCTTCATGCTGGTTGGCGTGATTATATAAATCTGTGTCAAAAACACTTTGTGGGCAGTTAGGAAAGAAATTGCTCTGCATTATTCAGGTGAAATGAAGCCAGGTGTGGGCAGCACAGGGAAGTAGGCCAGTCATGATAACTCCATTTTTAGAAGGCATAGTAACTAAATGAGACATATTTAGCTCTGCAGCTCACCTGGAGGAGCACGGTCCATCGGCACACACACATAATTATATGTGTTTCATTGGTTTATTTCATAGGCTTAATAGTTTTTCTACTGTGCAAACTGTATTCTGTTCACTTTCACATTCACTTTAGCGAGATGTCAGCTTTCATTGCACCGATCTGAGTGTGATATTCATCCAAACTTTTCCATAGTTGTTTGGAGGGTGATTCTACCATGACTTGGACATGTACCATGTTTTTTTTTGTTTTTTTTACCATGCTGTTCTTTGTAGCATTTTGGAGTACCATTGCAATATAGTATATATATATGATAATGGTACACCAGTGCTCAAAACTCTCTTCTGCTCACCAAAGATGCATTTATTTGATTAAAAAATACAGTAAAAACTGTGAAATATTATTATAATTTAAAATAGCTGTTTTCTTTGTGAATATATGTTCAGATGTAATTTATTTCTGTGATCAAAGCTGAATTTTCAGCATCATTACTCCAGTCTTCAGTGTCACATGATCTTCAGAAATCATTCTAATATCAGAATCAGAATCAGAATGAGCTTTATTGCCAGGTATGTTTACACATACGAGGAATATGTTTTCGTGACAGAAGCTTCCACAGTGTAACAGAATGACAGTGACAGAACAAAAAAACACAGATAATAAAAAATAAAAATAAATAAAAAATAGAACAAGTAAAATAAGGAATAAAAAAATATACAAATCGACAATTGTATGTACAGGTATATAACAATAGACAGTTGTATGTACAGGTATATTATGTGCAAATTGAAATGTAGACTGAGTATGTGTGTTAGATAAATAAGTGTATGAGTGAATAAATAGTGTGTGTTACACAGTTATTGTCAAGTGTTCATGAGATGGATGGCCTGAGGGAAGAAACTGTTCCTGTGTCTGGCCGTTCTGGTGCTCAGAGCACTGTAGCGTCGACCAGATGGCAACAGTTCAAAGAGGGAGTGTGCTGGATGTGAGGGGTCCAGAGTGATTTTACCAGCCCTTTTGCTCACTCTGGATGAGTACAGTTCTTGGAGAGAAGGGAGGGTTGTACCAATGATTCACTCAGCAGTCCGGACTACCCTCTGTAGTCTTCTGAGGTCAGATTTGGCAGCTGAGCTGAACCAGACAGTTATTGAAGTACAGAGGATGGATTCAATGATGGCGGAGTAGAACTGTTTCAGCAGCTCTTTGGGATGATGGTGTTAAAGGCCGAGCTGAAGTCCACAAACAGGATCCTCACATAAGTCCCTGGTCCGTCTAGATGTTGCAGAACATAATGCAGATGTACTGCACATATGCTGATTTGCTGCTCAAGAAACATTTCTGATTATTATCAATGTTGGAAACAGTTGTGCTGTTGAATACTGATTATGTAATTAGTATAACAACACCAATTCAGCTTCTCATTTCTGCTCTGAGTTTGAGAGAATGAGGAGATTTTCTGCCTGTTTTTCCTCCTCAGTCGTGGATCAGTGTGTAAGTCGACAGTGTTTTGACCTTCACATTGTTCTGTTCCTCTGTTTCTCCCTCGTACAGCTGAGACGAAGGTTTGCTTCAAATATTATCATGGTATGAGTGGAGTGCTCAGAGCCACGACGCCCAGCGTGACGGTGCGAAACCCCTCTGCCAATGTGAGTAAACACACACACACACACACTCACACTCAGATACACATACACACACACTCTCTCAGATACACACCCACAGATACACACATGCACACATACACACACACACACACACATTCAGATACACTCACACATGCACACACACACACACACACACACACACACACACACACTCAGATACACACACACACACACACTCACACACACACACATACTCACACCCTCTTTTAGATACACACCCACAGATACACACACACACACTCAGATACACTCACACATGCACACACACACTCAGATACACACACACACACACACTCACACACACACACATACTCACACCCTCTTTTAGATACACACCCACAGATACACACACACACACTCAGATACACTCACACATGCACACACACACTCAGATACACACACACACACACACTCACACACACACACATACTCACACCCTCTTTTAGATACACACCCACAGATACACACACACACACACGCACACTCACTCTCTCACTCACACACATACTCACACATTCTCTCAGATACACACCCACAGATACACACATGCACACACACACACTCAGATACACATGCACACACACCCTTGGTTTTGGTGTTTGTGGTTAAATCAGTTGTGCGCTGCCATTTAGCCCCGCCCATGTAGTAGGTAATTGACAGAAGTGGCAAAGGCAGGTCTACGCAGAAACCAAATGATAAACTTTATTTAATGAACTTTATTTTTAATAAAGTTCCAGACTGCTTGTCAGTAAGTAAACTGTAATACATTTTATTTTTCAGGATTCACAGATAAATAGAAAGTTCAGAAGAACAGCATTTATTTGAAATATAAATCTTTTACAACATTATAAATATCTTTACTGTCACTTTTGATCAATTTAATATCTCTTTGTGGAATTAAAGTATTATTTAAAAAAATATATATCTTACTGACCTCAAACATCTGTTCTGAATGGTAGTAAAGATAAAAAAAAAACTAAATAATAAGTGGTTTCAATAGGTTAAATATATTATTAAATATTATCTCTTAAGGCAAGGCAAGGCAAGGCAAGGCAAGTTTATTTGTATAGCACATTTCATACACAATGGTAATTCAAAGTGCTTTACATAAAAGAAAAGAAAAAAAAATATGCTGAGTGTTCTGCCTGTTTTGGAAGTCCAGCAAGTAACTTTGTTTCAAGAACCGCAATCCTTTGTAGAAGTTTGCAGTAGTTCATGCAGCAAGTAGATTCAACAGGAGGCATTTTCTTTCTCTTCTGTTTGAATGTGGGCAGCTGTGTTTTCCCTTCTCCGGAATGTAAGCTGCTGGCAGTGGGAGGCAAAAGTCTTCTTTTTCGTGGTATTATTCCAGTCCCAGAGAGTTTTTTGTTTTAGTGTTTGTGCCAAAAATATGTTGTTTGAGCACTGTGCTGATCTGCTGAAGTAAAAATCTTAGAAAAATCAAAGAAAAGTACAGAAATAGGGAGCAAAGCGTAGAGCAGTAAGCAAGAACGTCCGAACGGTAGCGAAGCCGGAAGGTTTGATTACGCCAATGAAAGTAGGTTTTTATGAGTCAGATCCAAGGGCTTCAGTTTGGGCTAGTTTGCTCCTGCTGGTAAATGCTAACTAAATCACAATGACATGTTTTTTGAAAAATATTTGGTAACACTTTCTATGAAGCCCGTATTTATAATACATTATAAGGGTATTCTTAAGGCATTATAATGAATGCATAATGCATTATAAAAAAACGTATAATATGCTATATCAACTCATGAATAATCATAACAACAATTATAATACATCATAATACTTACGTATTTGTGGTTATAAGTTTAAGAGTATGATTATTTATAACACACAATGAACACTACTTAATTTACATGGTTACATTTTATTTTGATGGTCCCCTTCGTCAATCGACTATAAGCAACTTTGCAACTACATGCCAACTAACTCTCATTAGAGTATTAGTATGCTCAAGAATGGTATAATCTAGTATGGTAGAATAAGTTGACGTACTTGCAAAGACACTTATAGTCAGTTTATCTGTTGGTTGACCATCAAAATAAAGTGTTAGCAAATATTTACAGTAGCAGAAATACTAATACTCGAATGACCGCTAGTTGATATTGTCACGAATCCGGTCCGTGGCCTTCCGGCCGATTGCCACTAGATTTCATTCTACCATTACATTGACTCTCACACTACACAGTCTGTTACATGTCACTCCGGACTACAGTTCCCATCATTCACTTGCACTTACACAGCTGAATTCACTGATCACACAGCCGTCACATTTCACACGCTCACCTGAGAGCCATTACACACACTATTTAACACTCTCTCAGTTCCTGTTCAGATGGCCGTGTATTGTTCTGCATTTTCCACTCCCCAAGTGTTAGCTGCCTTACCGAGCCATTCCGTGTTTTCTGTTTTAGTCTCGTGTATTGTTCTGCGTTTATCACTCATCTAGCGATAGCTGCATTACTGAACCTAGTGTCTTGTTTTCCTTGTTTTCATCGTCTTGCCTTGTCTGTTTCCCCGTGTTCTGATCACTGCCTGTGTACCTGGATTATCCCTCGAGTCTCGCCCAATTGGATTATTATTATTACTTATAAGTGGTCTTTGACCGCTTTAAGTAAAGTAGCATAAGAAAAATGGCAATATGTGAGACGTATAATACATTATAACTATGAGAAATATAATCCATTGTAAAAGTGGATGCAACGTGTTCATTGTGTTATAAATCATCATACTCTTAAAAGCTATAACCACAAATAAGTAAATATTATAATATATTAAAACTGTTCTTATGAATATTCATGAGATGATACAACATAATGCATTATGCATTCATTATAATGCCTGAAGAATACCTTTATAATGTATTAAAAATACGGGCTTCATAGAAAGTGTTACCAAATATTTCATTAAACTATTATAGATATTTTACCAGTGCCCAATTATGTTTCAGAGGCTCTTAAAAGCATAAAAGCAAGCATTTTTCCCAGTGTTTTTTGCAAAATAATTAGTCACATGGCATTTACAGCTCAGCTGATTGTCTTAAGAAGTTATGAAGCTACAAACATACACAGCATATCTGAGAAATAGCACATGTTCACGTTTTAAAGTGTATGTTAAGAAAATGTAGGGGGTTTCACTGCGGCTGGAATTACTGGATGATAATAAGTGCTTTAGTAGCTCTTATCTTGCCGTTCATAGCCAAGTAAAACGGTTTGCCCTTCTCTCAGCATTCATAAATTAGATTAAAATGTTGAAAGGATTAAAGGTCATTCCCCCTAAATACAAAAGACAATCATTAGGCAATAAGCTCTTTGTATTTGATCAAATACCTTCGTGACCTTACACCCTGTGGATGGATCGATGAGACAGACCTCATCTGAAGATCAGCTGCTAATAATCACGATTTCCAGCATAAGCACCCCTAAATAACCCTTTGTTAGCACTAAACCCAAGCCAGAGATTGCATATCCGCAGTGCCTTTGTGCTGGCGTGGTCCACAGAAATGCTGAGAGCCAGAAAACTTGATCTCAACACCAGTGCCCTTTCTCGGGCGAGCTGTTTAAAAATAACCTCGGCGGAAAAGCCTGGGATCAGGTACAGCGGATGGGTTTCGGAGGATACGGAGAAGAGCTGCGGACACGCTGATGGATGGCAAAGCGAGGCTGGCTGGTCTTTATGGATGCGCTCCGTTAACTAGGGCTCTGATTGTGAATTATCACCCGGGGCTGATGTCGCCCGACCGGATCACGAGGAGGAAGAGGGAGGGCGCTCTCACCTGGATACCTGGCTGGGTGAAGGTAGCTGCCATGGTTGCTTTTGCTTTCAGGTCTTAGGAAACTTCTAGAGCTGCATATAGATGCCAAGAGTTATTGTGCTGTGATTTTGTGATCATGAATGTTCTGCTTGACATTGCTGGAAACACTTGAGACGATTACAAGTGAGGTTTCTGGCTGCTGCAGTCTGCGTGTTTATTTGGCATTCGTTTTTGCCTCGTTTCTGCATATATTCAGCAGTTTTATCCATGAATGCTTTTAATTGGTCAGCAATCCAATTTAGAGCTCTTAACACGCCTGCAGCCATTCGCAGCAAACTCTATGGATAATACAAAAGCAATATTAAGGCTTTCTGTGACTTAAAGGTTTGTTGTACACTGTAAAAAAGATTATTGTAGTGTGTTGTACATTAACATACTATTTTAGGATTTAAAATGTCACTTTTAATTCAATGTGTTACTTGTCTTTGGAATAAAGTGTGAAATTTACTAGTAATTTCTGAGTGATACTAACATTTATTATTATTATTATTATTATTATTATTATTAGTGTAACCGGGCCCTGTTCCTCAAAGTAAACATCTCAAATATAAATAAAATGTTTTCACTTTTAACATTCACTGTTTAAAATATAAATGAACATGTAGATCAGCAAAAGTTATTTATTAATTAATTTTTTTAGATTTTTATTTTTTAAGTTATTTAACAATAAGTTAATAATTTATAAATTGAAGTTATTTAACAATTATATAAGCAGTCTTAACGCATTTTTCTCAGAAATAATGGCAAGAAAACATTAAGTCTCTATTAAGCGTTGAGCTGCACGCAATAACATATGTGAGCAGTGTAGTCTGATTCACAAACAAATGGCTCTTAAAGCTGGTCCTTTTAATAGTTTTAAAAAGTCCCACAAACTTGCGAGTTACCGTTTGAATCAGTCTGATAAAGCCTTTCTCAAGATCAAGTGTTTTTAAAAAAGTATCACCAGAAAGTATTTTAAAATGTTAGCTGCTGCTGACATGGCATTAAAAAAGCACTAAAGTAAATACAAATGAACTCAAGATAAAGTTATTATTACTTCCAGTGGTAGAGTATTTAAATATATTATAAATATAACATATATAGTGTATATTTTAATATTATTATATATTCATATAAACCCAATACAGAGTATGTATCAAACAGTGTTTTTTCTTTTCTATGTAAGTTCGAAGGTTTGTCCTTTAGTATCAAATGACTTCCTTGGTGTAGTCAGCAGAAAGAAGCTGTCACGGCAAACCGATGCAGATGAAAGACAGCTTTGAGTTTATGTTTGGATGTGAATAGAGAACAGTGTAGTTCAGTCAGACGTGGATGGTCGAGCGCTTTCTAAATAGTTTTTGTGCATACGGTGTAATTTCAGAGTAATGCAATATGTGTGAGTCGAGTGAAAAGAACTCATTTGGGAGTCAGAATAAAAATAGCGTTCGTGGGCATATTTTTATGATTCGGTGAAGTATTTTGCCTTTGCTGTTGTGTAAGTGAATGTGTGTGTAGTTGTGGGTGTAGTAGGTGATGTCATTTTATTAGCTATAACTTATTTAATTTTCTCTGCCTTATATTAATATTTCATGCACAAAGTAAAGCATAAGAAAGGTCTGAACGCTAGGACAAATCTTTATCATTTTAATTTACATACACCAATACAAAAATGCATAGTAACAAGCATCAATATTTTCAATATTTATCTACAAATATGTTACAAAAACATACACTGTCAAATGATTATAATTTTAACTATAAAGACTGTAAAGTGCTACAGTAAAAAGCTGTTAATTAAATAATGGTAAATTTTAAACTGTAAAATTTACAGGTTGTTTTGTAAATATGTTTACATTTTTGCTGTATTTTACTGTTTTTTTTTTTCTGTAAAAGTGACAGAATTTATTTTACAGTATATTTTTATATATTAAATATATGTTAATGTTTTGAATATGATTGTCGGCACAACCAAATCATTGAATCGTTAAGTTTTGAATCGATTCACTGATTCAGTGGAGGGAATTGAACTAAATAACTCTTTTAAGAGAAGTCTTTTAACTAGTCTGAACTAGTCTTGTGACGCAGCCTTCAGGAAACCTAATGACCAAAGAAGAACCATATTACAACCAACATAATGTGGTTTAATTTTACATCGCCAGCAAAACATTTGCAAACATTGAATGAATATTCAATATTTCGTTCAACACTAATAAGGAAACCACACACTGAGGTTGTTTTTGTGAACACGCACACACACTCAAACGCACACACACACACACACACACACACACTCACTCTCACACACACACACACTGTCTGGTCAGCTATCCTTGTGGGGACTCTCCATAGGCGTAATGGTTTTTCTACTGTACAGACCGTATATTCTATTGCCCTACACCAACCCTATTTCTAATGACTGCGTAGCATCATGGATGCAGTTCACTCGTCATATTCCGGGACTGAAGGTTTCTACATATTATATAGCATTTATTAGATTATATTGATGTAGCACTCATTGTTCCATATAATATCCAGAATTGATTTTGTGTTGGTATATACCATACTGAATACTGAACGGTAACCTAAAAATGGTAACCTAAAACCTAAAAAAAAAGGTAACCTAACAATGATAACATCTAAATTAACGGGTTTTATTAAGTCAAAAGTATTATTTAATATTGATAAATACATAATATTGTACAGAAAAAAACATTGATCAGGTAAATCAGGTAGAAACAGCTCTTACCACTTTTTACAGTGAAGGCACTACCATAGTACATCTAAAAACATTTTAACATGTGAAACGTAGTTTTGAATTTGTTTTAATTTAATTTAATTTCCATTTTTAGTTTATTTTTATTTATTTGATTGTATTTTTCTTTATTTTAGGGCTGCAAAAGTTAATGTGCATCATTTAAAATATTTAATAGCATTAATTTTCTCAGTACAGTCTTGTGCTATCTTGTGAATTTTTAATGCAACTTTTATAATAGGCTATACCATGTATCAAAAACTAAAACTAATTTGTGGCTATTTTTATTTTATTTTACTTTGAGTTATGAAAATATGTTCCTGGATTATGGTCATGTTTATATATATATATATATTATTTTTTTTTGCATTTGGCTGTATGATATTCTGTGGTGTGTGTTTTGTTTTTTTATGACAAAAGTGTCTATAGTGACGATAAAGTCAGTTTTACTAATTTGTATCTTCTGGAGATTAAACAGAGATTTATTCATCTGTATCCAGAGACTCTTTTGACTTAGCAACCACCCAGAATCCCCTAGCAACACATTCAAAATAACTCAGATTACCTTACCAACTACAAAGATATCCTGGCAACACCTTGAACATCTTCTTCAGAAAATAAAAGCATAATAATTACTAAAAGCAAACAGCATCACCACAAAACTGCACCAAACAGACTGAAGTTGTCAGAAACGAGACCGGGATCCAACAGCAGGTGAAAACAAATTCCAAGTTTATTGAAACCGTGATAACAAAAAAAGTCAAATAATCAGCCGGATAGCAAAACCCCAGCAAAAAGTCAGTTCTGATCAGCGCGGAGGTTAGACCAGCCGCGGTCGAGCCCGCGGGGAAGAGAGGCGGCGAACCGGCACTAGAAAGCCACCGCTAAATTCCAGGGGTGGTATCGAGCGTAGGCAGAGAGGAATAGGACGGAACTGCCGTGGAGAGACAGACCTATGAGTAGCGCGAGCCAAGGAAGAGAGCCGACCAGAGTCCTAGGGGGGCAGGAGGGTAGAAAGGGGAGGGTGACAAAAACAGGAACGCCAGACCGACTAGACTAGAAAAAATAAAAAAAACTGATTCAGGCAAACACAGTATGGACAGAGACGATCTAAGCTGCTGCACAACATATTACGGACTGACACAAGATAGCATCCAAGAGGGCCAGATAAAGGGAAGAATAATGAGGACAAAACGAGGTGCAGGTGAGAAGGGAGAATTAGCTAACAGGGATAACGAGAGGGGCGGGGTGAACACCAGGATGACAGCAGAGCACATGGCAAGCCGTCAAAACAAAAGGCCATGTGCTCCATGATAACAAAGCCCAAGCAGACCCCACCGAAATCGTGACAGAAGTAGGATTTGTGCTTCAAACCGCAGCGTTTGTGTAATAACCCGGTCTGGATCAGTTTAATCAGAGTAATCTGGCTGAAGCAGCGGCGCTCAGGAGGACAGGATTTGCATCTCATTTGTGTGCGAAGCGTCCAAACACATGCTCTGCTTTTCCCTCTTGCCTGCTGTTTGTCTCTGTGCTCTCTGAAGGGTGTTTGGACGCATTTATAGGCAGTTTTCTGGAAGGTCTGCATGTGTACGTACATTACAAAGATCGGAAAGTAGGAGTTTATAGTAGACTGACTGAAATGAAGTGTTGAGAAATGTGTTTGTTTTGTGCACCGTAAATCTCTTTGACTGTCTTTGGCATAAAAACAATCCTCCTCGTCTCATTAATGAATGGACTGTTGAATTTCTAAAGAGGTAAACAGACTAGACACAAAATCATGAAGACTGAGGACGTCTGGTGCAGTAAGTGCCAGTACGGGTTATTATTAGTTTGCTGTGGGTAATTAATTTTATTTAAATAATATGTTCAGTTTTTCTGTTTTCTGTTTTGTTTAGACACAGTGTCTTGCAGTGTTGTTTTTATTATCTCAAATTATGTATTATAGATATTTTTTATAGATTTCCAGTTAGTAATTTTAGTGTGTTAACGTCTTATTTTATATATATTTTTTTTTTTTTATGTAATTTTTTTTTTTTTTTTTTTTTTTTCAACAAACAAAAATTATTTTAATAGTTTTAGTCATAGTTAATGTCACCCTGGACCCCAAGGCCATTTTATTATCTCAAATTATGTATTTCAGATATTTTTATAGATTTTCAGTTAGTAATTTTCGTGTATTAACCTTTCTAATTTATTAATTTGTTTAGCCTGCATCATCACACATGTATTGCCATCTGCAGGTGGGATTTCTTACTGCACACAGTCTCAGATAATTCTGCTGTCATCTGAAGATAGATGATTATACTTTGTTTCTTTTTTTCTTTTTTTAATGGTACTTTGTGTTTTGTTCCACTTTTATGATGCAGTATTTTTTTTTCTTCAGTTTACAAGTGTTTTACATCTCTTACTTTAGTCTTCACTCTAGTTTACAGTAATAACCCTGGAGCCAGTGTTCCCTAACAGCTTGAGTTTTTCCTCTTCTGAGAAGCGCCGTCCCATGAGCCTCTCCTCCTTCTCTTCCTGGCTGCTGAATCAATGCAGTCCTAATGAATGTGCGCTATTGATTGGTGCCATGAGCCGGCGTCAGTAATGGGCTTTAAGCACAGTATATCAGGCCATATGCGCTGAAAGAACAGAAGAGGACAGAAAGAAGGGGGCGTGGCCTGTGTAGAGTTACTTCCTGTCCTTCAGTCACGTGATCAGCTGACCGCTGTGGTTCTCTCTGATAGGCGCTGAAGCCTGTCATCAGTCAGGAGCGTCCTCAGACTCTGGACTGCAGGAGACTCATCAGCTTCTCTCTGTCAGGTGAGTCAGTGCTGGCATTCATTCATTCATTCATTCATTTATCTGAAAGCTAAGAATTCCTGTTAGAAACCATTGTTAGTAAAGCTCAATCAGTTAAGAATAAATGCTCTCAGCTTTTTCTATATGGTAAACATCTTGAATGAATATTGTGATAAATAAATAAAAAATGTAAGGAGATAATGCAAAGAAAATTGGTATGTGATTTTAGTAAGTATAGGAATATGCAGTAGTTTGCCAACTGTTGAAAATCTTCTCCAGTTTTATTCTTAATGTTCCCAGGAGTTGATTTACTATTGCTTTTTAAGCATGGTATATGTTAAGTCCCATTTATGTGCAAATTCGAAAATCAAATTAAGAAAGGCTTTAAAAAACAGAAACTGATACAATTTGAAACACATTAAATTGATCAAAAGTGACAGTAAATACACTTATAATGTTGTAAAAAATAAAAAAATAAAATATATATATATATATATATGTGTATATATATATATTTGTAATAATATTTCACATTTTTACAGGAGTGCTGTCAAACGGTTAATCGCAATTAATCGCATCCAAAATAAAAGTTTGTGTTTGCATAATATATGTGTGTGTACTGTGCATATTTAATATGTGTATATTAATGCACACACATACATGTATATATTTAAAAAAATATTTGCATGTGTGTGTATTTATATATATTTATATATAATTTACATTAAATACAAACATAAATATTTTATATATAAATGTAACATATTTTTCTTAAATATATGCATAAACGTGTGTGCATTAATATATGTACACAGTATACACACATATATTATGTAAACACAAACTTTTATTTTCGTTTGACAGCATTAATTTACAGTATTTCAGATCAAATAAATGCACCTTTGATGAGCAGAAGAGACTTCTTTCAAAAACATTTTTAAAAATTGTTGGCAAGCTTTTGAACAGCAGTGTAAATTAAGAAGTTTAATAAGTCAATGTTTATTTTCGTTACTTTTTATGACTTATTTTTTTTTATTCATATTGCATGACAATATTTTGGATCCTCAAGAGAGCATTTTTTGGTTGAGAGAAGCATCTCAACACCTTTTCATCTTCATAGCCTCAGAAACGTCTCTTGCTCACTGAAATCTCTGGGCATCATAAAACCTTTATAACCTTTCTCCGTTGTGTTTCTATGCTGCACTGAGTAACAGTTTCCCATGAATCCTCTCGTGTCTCACACTCACTGAGTTTGGCCGTTTCAATGAAACCTGCAGAAATAACAAGGTTTTTGGTTCTTTTTGCAGCTGTGCTTTGAAATATTCAGCAGGGCTTGTGTATTATCGTTAACTTCTGAATTAAACTGTATAAATCCAATGTCACAACCCAAACAATTTAAAAGAATCATAATGAAATTATGAATATGGTCTCTCTTTCCTCATCCTGTTCTCTTTCTTCTCAATTGCATCTGAAGTTGCGATGGCCAAACTATGGTCTGGACTCCCTCAGCGCTGTATATTTTATTCATAACACACCTCTCCTGCCGTGAGCTTACAGTCTGTCTGAACATGCTGCTGCAAACACATGCACATTAACAGCTTTGTGGAAGCTCTAGCTGCCAGCGGATCTCCTCTGTAAGCAGAAAAACCCCTCGGGAGTCAGAAAACACGACTCCTTTTAGCCCAAAGTGATGGCTTGTGGACAGACGACCTGCAAAAACCTGAAACCAAGCGAAACATCCTCTGGTTGTATTAGCTTGGCAGGACTGTTTGAGAAGAACCCGGATAGAAATCCAGTGGGTAACACCAGTGAAAGTCATTTTAAGAAGTAGGTCCTAAAAATAAATGTGCAGTCATTTCACATCTTTTCAGTGAATACGGGAGGTCCTGTGGCTCTAAATGGCATCTCACACTCAGACACTCTGTCTATAGTGTTAAAAAGGCATTAAGCTGATAGTCAGTAGGTTATGGCAGTGCAATAATACGTCGCAGCCGAGCTCGTCTGGATACTGGAGCAGATAATGAGCTCCTGTGGGATTCTGAGGCTTCCTGCTCTTCTCTTCATATTCCCAGACGCAGACTTTACGGCTCTCGCATCCGCTGTTTCTCTATGAATTATGTTTTAATATTGCAAGGACACCAGGAAACACAAAAATGAGAGAATATGCAGTTGAATATTAACCAGAGGTGTAAAGAGTACCTAAAAACCATACTTGAGTAAAAGTACAGATACCTTACAGTGAAAATTACTCCACTACACGTTACAAGTCACCAATTTCAAAACAACTTGAGTAAAAGTCTTAAAGTATCTGATTTTAACAGTACTTAAGTATTTTACTTGTACTAAATATAGGCATATCTTTCTCTCTGTCTGTCTGTCTGTCTGTCTAACTATCTCTCTCTCTCTCTATCTATCTATCTATCTATCGGTCTGTCTGTCTGTCTGTCTGTCTGTCTGTATATCTAGCTATCTGTCTATCTGTCTGTCTTTCTATATATCTTTCTGTCTGTCTGTCTGTCTATCTATATGTCTGTCTGTCTCTCTCTCTGTCTGTCTGTCTGTCTGTCTGTCTGTCTGTATATCTAGCTATCTGTCTATCTAGCTATCTGTCTATCTGTCTGTCTGTCTATATATCTTTCTGTCTGTCTGTCTGTCTATCTATCTGTCTATCTCGCTGCATGTCT